ACAGACAGACAGACAGACAGACAGACAGACCGACAGACAGACCGACAGACAGACCGACAGACAGACCGACAGACAGAGATAGAGAGACGTGTGTGTATATTATTACGTATCATGTGTGTATGTGTGTTTGAGGGCGTGTGTGTGTGAGAGAGAGATAGATAGATAGATAGAGATAGAGTGTATGTGTATCAGTGTGTATGTGTGTGTTAGAGTGAGAGTGAGAGAGTGAGAGTGAGTGAGAGAGAGAGAGAGAGAGAGAGAGAGAGAGAGAGAGAGAGAGAATGTATGTGTGTGCGTGTGTATGTGAGTGTGTGCGTGTGTATGTGTGTGTTTTTTTATAGTAGAGGGTTTTATGGCACTCGCAACTGCATAAGGTCATATGAGCGTGCGGACACATACTTTTAGTTGGTAGGAAATTTTGAATTTGACTGGGTGGCGGCCGAAGCCTACTCTTATCGATTTTAGACCACCAAGGGATCTTTAACGTGCGCAACTTGCACATGGCCCTCCGAGATTTTTCGCCCTTGTCCGAGAAGGCTAGATGTAGATCTTTCCTACCAGAAGATCAGGGGTGTGGCAGAAAGACAGCTGTAAGAAGGAGTCAAGGAGTAGCATTAGAAAGGCTGCAGTAAGAATCAGGAGCCCAGAGGAGGGGGCAAAGGAGGTGACGGGGTGGGGGCAGAAAGAGGAGACGAAAGCAGACGACAGAATATTGCTAGAGAGCAGGAAAGGAGGTGAAAGGAGACAATTTTAGAGAAGAAAATTTTTCGGTCGCTACCCGGATTTGAATCCGGGACCTTTGAATGAGAGGCCAACACCTAAACCTCTAGGCCACGAGAGCCCCCAGTGTGTGTGTGTGTGTGTGTGTGTGTGTGTGTGTGTGTGTGTGTGTGTGTGTGTCTGTTATAGGCTATACTAGCAAAATCACAAAGTGGACATTGCGTAGTTTGCATTGAATAGATTGCGGACTGTATAAAGATATTTCCCTCTTTACTAATATATTCAATTTTTAAAATAATCTCTCTTTCTCTTTTTTATCTTTCTGATTCACTTTTTTCAATCAGGTTTTGTATCTCTGTCTTCTTTCTTCTCTCTCTTTCAGTCTTTTCTCTCAATATCGAGACGAAAACATCAGTTCCAGGCTGGTCTCCAGTCTCCAGTGCGTTACACTTTAACTATCAATGACAATATAACATTCTTTTACAAAACTATAGACATGGAATATGTGACGAAATTGTTTAAAAATATGAATCTCAGCTTGTGCACGCCAAAGACATGTTCAGTGTCTGTGAAGAGAGGTGCGGGAAAGTCGTCTTCTTCTTCTTCTTCTTCTTCTTCTTCTTCTTCTTCTTCTTCTTCTTCTTCTTCTTCTTCTTCTTCTTCTTCTTCTTCTTCTTCTTCTTCTTCTTCTTCTTCTTCTTCTTCTTCTTCTTCTTCTTCTCCTCCTCCTCCTTCTCCTTCTCCTTCTCCTTCTCCTTCTCCTTCTCCTTATTATTATTATTATTATTATTATTATTATTATTATTATTATTATTATTATTATTATTATTATTATTATTGTTATTGTTATTATTGTTAAAGAGCATTGATGCTGTCTGCTTCCCAAAGTGGATTACATTATTCACTGAGATACAAAATTAATGTTTCACTTTAAGAAAAAAAATTGTTTGTGTAGAACATGTGGAGAGAGAGCGAGCGAGCGAGAGAGAGAGAGAGAGAGAGAGAGAGAGAGAGAGAGGGGGGGGGGAAGGGGGGAGGGAGAGAGAGATCCGAGAGAGTCATGCTGACAGAAGACAGACATTTTGTTTATTTTTCAATGGTCTTACTAAATAATCAACTAAGTTGACACTTTTTGCTCTACATATCGGCTAGCGTGCCCACGAAAAAAGAATCTGTCAGCATTAAAACATATCTAGATCTAGATCTAGATTATCTAGATCTAGATTCTAGTAAATAAAATAACAACACCGATTGGGGTTCAAGATCCACGGTAAAATACGGTAAGTCGGAAATGAGTGTTCTATGCTGCTAGATCCGGAAGTGGTTGCTAATCTCAACAAAAGAAACATGGAAGAGTACCATAACAATGCAGGTGCACTCTTTCTGTCAAGTCAAATTTGATAGACCATCCATGGTGTATTGTTATTGCCTGTGTTTTACCCAGAGGATACCTCAGAAGGTAATGCTTTGCCGTTACATATGCAAAGATGATTATGTTCCTGTTATGCGAGTGAATGATTTTGATAACGAAATAGGCATGCTAGGCCTACCGGCGATTGTGTAGATTTCCACGTTAAATTCCGATACTACACGGGACATCTGACAAACTCTTTTATTCATATTTACAAGAATATATGAGGAAGCAACAATTTAAGGAAAACATTTGGTGCTTTTTCGGTAGTTCCCACCCCCCTTATTTGAGCCTGACCTACATCTAGATCTAGATCTATACGTTTGATTCGCGGTGAGCTAAGATATCGTTGATCTTGTAGTTCCGTTCGTTAAAGTCCACGATCCATCTGTTTACATCCAGAGAAGAAATGCAGAAGTCTTGAAGACCAAATACTATTTGAATTAGGCTACACAAAGAGCAGGAATGCAACCTAACTGCAAAACATCAAATTAGGATAAAATTCAGGGGGGGCATGCCCCCCTGAACCCCCCACCTCCATTATATTTTTATTAGGTCAGGGGGGCAAGCCCCCCTGAAACCCCCTACTCTTGACTTTAACGAACGAAACTACAAAATTCAAACCTAACAACTGCAAAACATTAAATTATGTTACAACCGCCCTCACATGATGCCTACACTTACACTACACCAAGGAAAGGCGAGACAGAACAGTGAGTAGATCTCGAGTCCGAATAAGAAATTTTTTTATTCGGACTCGAGTCCGAATATGAAAAAATGTTATTCGGACTCGACGGCCAACATAAATAGGCCTATTATAAAGTTTAAAAGTTTGATTGTAGTGGATCAAAATCTGGAAATCTAAGTGAATTGAGTCAATTCAGTAGATCTAGAGCATGAGAATGAGACATGAGACTCTTGACAACCTACCATGTTGATCTAGATAGATTTGGTCAGTAGTGGCAGTGAGACAAGCAGATAGCTATTCTAGAGAACGACAACTAAACACCATTATATGACTGATATTTATACTATAGTTGGAAATGGATTGGACACACCCTGAGGAGACCCCCGACAAGCATCATCAGGCAGGCTTTAACGTGGAACCCACAAGGAAAGCGTAAGAGGGGAAGACCAAAGATGACATGGAGGCGAGCGGTACAAGCGGAAATTGAAAAAGCGGGGACATCATGGAAACAAATAGAAAAGGATGCTCAGGACAGGCTTCGCTGGAGTAATGTTGTTGATGGCCTGTGCTCCACTGGGAGTTACAAAGGGCAAGAGAGAGATTTATACTATAGTAGGCCTAACAGCCATCTTGTTTGATGCCATCGAAGGATTTTGACTTTGTCAGTCATGGTGGCACCCGACTGCACGACGGCAGCCTGCCGACTCGGATTATTTTCTTTGCAACTTGCAAAACTGTTCGGTTCGGTTACACTGTGATTGTGCAGCACCCTTCTTCCGCCCAGATTGATTCTGATGTTGTACATTACATAGACTGAGAAGAAGAAGACTAAAGGCCTACGTACGAAAGCAAGTTGAAAGTTCAACGAAGCAGTGCAAAAGATCAACCGTTTCGATCTGGAAAGTTTCTTTTAACCCTCCACGGGTCACGCCTATTGTCGCAGTGTCAGTAAATACCGATACCGCTGGTTGCGACTATTGTCACGCCACTTACAGGCATGTAACGCCCCAAACTGTCAAGATTGTAATGCTATGTTTAAAATGCTGGGACAGTTTACGCCTCATAGGAGATGTTTGACTGCCATAATTTTGAAGTGGTAGTGAGCTTTGTGCTTGTCGCGGGAGTTTTTTATTCCAATTTTTCCTCGCGTTCGTCAGTTAGCACTGAAAATGGCTGACTCAGATTCTGAGAGCGACTCAGATGTTCCTGACATATTCCTTCAAAGTGATTGTGATTCCGATGAAGAATTTCTAGGTTTCGATCAAAGAGATATTGATTTAGTTGTTCCAGGTGGTCAAATCGTAGATCTTATGAGGTTTGGCCCCCCAAACGATGGCAATATAGCTGCTGATGTTGCCGAGGGGTGGTCTAAGGAAGACATGGTGGTAAATGTACTCGCATATACTGCAGTTTCTGCCTTAAATGCGGATCTTCTTCAGAAAAGAATGCTTGATTTCTTCAAGATATTTATAGATGATGATTTCTTAGACAGGTTTAGGATTGAGACGAACAGGTATGCCAGATCTCAGCTAGGTAATGCTGGGGACAATTTGAAAGCAAAGGCAAGACTCCGTTCGTGGAAAGACACTACTGTTGCTGAACTCAAAGTGTTTTTTGCTCATTCTACTGACTGGAGTTGTTGAAAAACCAGACTTAGAGAAATACTGGATTACAAACGATCCAAAGGTCACTCCTTTTTTTTGGGAAACCATGACCAGAGACAGATTTACTCTTCTCTACTTTCAAACCTTCACTTGGTCGACTATGCCGACGATGATAACCTTGACCCCCTTTTCAAAATCAGGCCCCTGATCAAGCGTCTTCAGACTACGTTTCAAGACATATAATCCCAACAAACCCGAGAGATTCGGCATAAGGTTATTTGAGGTTTGCGAGTCGTCTAGCGGCTTCTGCTTCAACTTTGACGTGTACCATGGAATTGCAAAGGATGTGAAGGTTCCTGCAGAAACTACTCAAACATCTAAAATTGTAATGGGTCTGATGGAAACGGCTAAACTGCTTGATAAAAATAATCATTTGTATATGGACAATTACTATACCTCGGTAGAGTTGTTTGGACTTATATTACAGCACGGGACTTATGCTTGTGGCACACTTCATGCAAACAAAGTGGGAACCCCTCAAGCCCTCAAAGTAGCAAGAAGAATGGAGCCGTACCAATGTCTTTTTAGAAGAAAACAGCATGCTGGCGGTTTTATTCAGAGGGAAGAGAGATGTGAAGATGATGTCCACGATTCATCAAGCACAAGGACTGGTTATCTACCGCCCCCGACGCAATCCAGCGACTATAATGAAACCTGTTTGTGTCAAAGAGTACACCCAGTACAAGGGAGGTGTAGATAGAATGGACCAAATATCAAAGTACTATACATCACTTCGTCGAAGTCTGAAATGGTGGAGGAAACTTGCTTTCTTTTTGTTGGAGCTGGCAGCAACAAATGCCTATGTGCTGTATCACAAATTTGGAGATCCATGCGTAGCACATGAAGAAGCTATGGTTCAACTTGTGAAACAACTGGTTGCAGAAGGAAAAGCTGACATGCTTGAAGAGCTGATACGAAGACCAGGACGCCCAACAACCACTGGTGTAGCCAGAGAAGCAAGGCTCACCAACTGCCACTTTTGTGACCACATTCCATCGCAGCCAGGTGCCAACCGCAAACATCCCATGCGGGATTGCGTTGTTTGTAATCAACCAAAGAAACAAAGACAAAGGTGTAAAAGAAAGCAGACAACATTCTGGTGCCCAGACTGCGCAGTGGTTCTCTGTGTACCTCTTTGCTTCAGACTCTATCATACTGTGGAAAACTACCAACTTGCCTATCGGCGTCAGACACAGGCTGATGGGGATACTTAGGAGGAGGTGGTGGAGCAGCAGTAGAAGTTGCAGCAGCAACGATAGTTGTACATATATGTATATAGGTTAGTGACATACTTACTTGTTCCTGGTGTTATAATTCATTATTTTGATGTTGTTGTTTTTCTTTCATGACCAATTTCAGAGTTTTTGATTTTTTTTCTCCTCTTTATTACTAATAAACATCAGCAACTGCACCACCATACATGTCACCAAAACAGCACAAGTGAAAAATATACACAACACTAAACTTAGTACATATGATTTCTACCATATAACTTTGTTTTAGACAAGGTTATGAATATATTGGCATGCATACATGACATGTGGGTTTCATCTTCAGCATTGGCAGCATCACGACCACCACCACCACCATCACCACCACCACCAACAACAATTGTTAGAAAAAATTTTGCCAACTACAAAGTTTATTCTATATATAATTATCAATAGTAAAGTTACTATTTGGGATTTAGTCATATGCTTTGAAATTTGCATTTAAAAAAAAAATGATTCAGCTGGCAGGGAACAAAACATGGGAAATAATTCAGCGGGCAAAGGTCTAAAGTTTTGTGAGTACAAGAAATTAAGCACTTGAAAGAGATTGGACTCAACGGGACGCTGAGCTGCAAATGGAGTAGATCTAATTCGAGACTGCAAGGTTTGCAAATAGATACTGCGAAGTGCAGAAGCAGTGGGGAACCACCAGCAGGAAAGACTCAAAAAGGGAAGCTTGGAAACTGCCAATGCAAACCACGCACTACGCAAAATCATCACTATTTTTAGAATCGCGATCAGATGACGCGGCGGACATCCCCCTTGCGAGGTCAAACAAGATGGCAGTTACTATAAATATCGGCCAATGGCGTTTAGTTGTCGTTCTCTAACTATCTGCTTGTGGCAGTGAGTGTGGCTATTCATTTGGGCTTGGAAAAATCTTTTTATTTGGTCATAGTTTTGATAAACTACTAACTAAAAATGATAAAGTTAATATATATTTATTAACATGCTGTTGTGTCGGCCTATACTTCGTCACATTTGTGAGACCTTTTATAATGGGCTGGCATTATTCGGACTCCTGGGATGCCTATAATCTGGTCATTAGCAACTACAAAAAATGGCCACTAAAGTTTGATGACTTCAAAAGCTTGACGAGTTCCTTGAAAACTGGACTCAAAACACTTGGGGATCCCCACCTCCTTCAACTGTAAATATCTCAACTCCTATTAAAGAAATGGGTATTTTATTTGTCAAACTCAAGGCTAATTAGTAAGTTCGTCGAAGGAGTATGAGTGTTCAGTAACTTTGTTGAGAGAATTTCCGCATATTGACTACCCTCTTAGTCTTAGACGTACTACTGTAAATATGACATTGAGTGCTGTTGAAGGAAAAATTTTTAAACAATAAAAAATGTATTCTTCAAACTTGTTACCCTCTCGTCCTCCTGTCTGCCAGAATCACACATTCCGTTTCATTTAAATTAAGCCCTTTCCATCAGAATGTCACAAAGTGTGTCATTTGCACGTCACCTTATTTATTTTACACACTTCCATCAAATCCTCCAAATCCATATATATGATAGTCAAGTTAGAAATAGACATGACAACTCTTCCTTTCTTAAGGAGAATTTGAAGTGTATTTTTCGAGTGGCAGCGTGGTGTATAATTGACAAAATTTTGAATTCCGAATCCAAATCACTTAAAGACTGTTAAAAAATTAAACCCCTTTTCAATACTCATGCTTTTTCTACGTTCAGTCTCCCTTTCTGTTTCCCCAGTGTTGGTGGTGATTAATTTTTTGGCAGGGTGAATGAGAAAAGTCTGGAGATCTGAAATTCTTGGTAATACAAAAATTTAGGTGTCTGAATGAAAGCACAGATCCAGATTTAATTTTGGTTGTTCAAGAAATCTTAGTAGGTAGTGTTTGCATCTCATCAAAAGGTCCTGGGTTTGAAACCTAACAGTGACAAACATTTTTGTCCTTTCGCCTCTTTTCTGTAGTAGTAGACTCTAGTTCTGCTCTGTCATCTTGCTTTCATTTCCACTTTCTCCCCGGGCCCCCCCCCGCGGGCTGGAAGGGCTAGTGAGAAAAAAAATAGATTTTCGTCTTGGGTCCTTTCCACGGATGAGTCTTGATCTGTCCTATTCCATAAGACGGTTAACTGACAAAATTGGGTCAGTAAAAAGAAACGGCACTGGTCCGTGAAGATTAAAATCCCTAAAAAGGATAGAAAAGGTGAGATTATGGGAGGTACTAAAACAATATAAGAGCGCCGATGAGTAAAGATACGAAATCTAAAATTGATGAATGTCACTGAATTGGTCATTATATCAAAATAAGTGAACCTATTTCAATAGTTATTTATCTAATGAATAACCCCCCTGTAAAAGAGACCTGTTTTCAGCAATTGCCATAGAGTAATGTTACGTCAAAGTCATCGTTATGGAGTGTGCCTGAGGCGCTGTCCGTGGCTCTCCAGCTCAGTGGTTCCGACCAAGAACTGCTGGGAGCTACTTGCCAGAAATAAGGAATCAAAGACCCCATGGTGGACTTGAAATCACATAAAAATTCCAAATGAATTTCTTATAAAACTGAAAATACTCCAGTGAGTATAAAATCAGGAGTGCCTTCGAAATCAGAATGTGTGTTCCTGAAGGCAAGGGGCTCTATGAAGTAGGAAAATTGGTCACATATGTGTAAAAGTCAAATGTACTGCAGGCTGAAAAACTAGCAGTCGACTGCCCCTGATATCTAGCAAGGGACTGCACATAAAAAATTTATTTTGGTGGATAAGAGTTAATCCTTAGGTAAAGTGTTTGGGGAATAAGTAGCTAAATGTTTTCTCAATGAGACTGTTTGGCTATAGAATATTGTATTTCATATAACTCTTGCATTTTTTACTTTTTTTTTTCAGATTTACTTAACTTGAGCTACATTTGACATCACAACTTTGACTAGTTTGTCTTTGGGAAAAGGAAGTTTTTCACAGTTTCATTCTGAGGATAAAAGTCCATAAGATCAGCATGACAGACGCTCAAGTGCCGAAAGGAAATTCTGCAGCCCCTGCGTCGCTGCCCAATGTTTCCTGGTTTGAATTCATTTTAAATGAAAATTTGTTAAAGGAGCACCTAAATCAAGACAATCCAGGTATGCCACATTAATTCATAAGAGGACATTAGTTCTCCTTCAAAATATCTTGAATATTTTTTGTGTTTGCTTGGTACCCTTGAAGAAGCTCAAAGTAAAGTTCCGTTATCTAAATAATACTCATGTTTAGTTTTTTGTTAAATCTGCATTATATTATGTTTGGTTTGTAATTGTAGAGTCCTTTAAATTTATACAGTTGCTTGATATAATTGCGAAAAGCTAATCAATGTTCCTAATTCCCTGAACATTTATGTTCGGAAACATCCCAAAATCGAACAAAATCATCTATAAATTTAAGTGTTTTTTGGGGGTTAAAGTATCGTGTTTGATTTACAATATTGTTCATTTTTGTTGTTTGAAAAAGACATTTTTTTCTTGAGCTTAAAGTAAAGTAGTCAGTAAAGTACTTTTTGAAGTTGGATTCGTAGTAGTAGTAACTTTTGAAAGTATTGAGACTGAGTTAAGTTTTCAAATTTTGACCTATATGAAACTTTTGATCTTGTTTCAGATCCGCCAGCATGTCAGCTCATCATGCAGTTCCTTCAACAAGCAGAGGTAGAGATGACATCTGTCATTCAAACAGCGAATGAAAAGCTGGGTAAAGTCCAAGGCCCACCGGGTGCTGTGCCTATACCAGTGAATAAAGTGGAGGAAGGTTTGTGATGAGTGTCTAACAACACTTGAGAATAGCCAGAAAATTTACAAACTCTGCAGTAGATACTCTTTAAGTTTAATATTTCATTGTTTTTTTCGTGCTTTGGCTATAACATTCTTCCCCTAGAACATACTTTTTACTCAGTTGAGTGGAATACCTTGATTGTAGGATTTGTGTAAAATGCTTTTTATATGTATTTTAGTAATTAAATCTGTTATCAAGCCTTTTATTCTCTTTTTTTTTTTGCTCAGAGCCAAAACCAGTAGAGCCCACAAAGAAAGTTCGTGCGCTTCGACTTTTGGCCTTGAAAGTTGGCAGTCATCTACATTGGAACCTCATGGTTATGGAGAAAGGGTGAGAGTTGCTTCTAATGGAAAACAAAAACTTACTTGTTTTAAAGAGTCTTTTTTTGTCCTTAAGAAAATATTAACATACGATTTTCTTCTCAAAATTCTTGCATTAAATGTTTGTAGGTGCATCTGATTTTTAATGATTTATTGTGGTGTGAGCTGCTTTTAAGTTAGAAAATGTTTCTGTTAGTGTTGTTGAAAGGAAATATAGTTTCTCCTACCCTTTGTTTGTGCCTTACTGATTAGAGAATGTAAAGAGGAACTTTGAGTCGAATTATTTTAAGTAATTGAAATTAGTATCACTCGTCACCTTTGTGAATATTGTGCTACCAGATGGTGAAAACAATATACTTAATATCTTGTCAAGTATTGGCACAAACAATGTTTTGTTATGAAACTAACCTTAAAATTGAGTGGTTTGTACCTTTTATGCTGAGAATATGAACTTTTTCTTATAGGGGGGAACATTTTAAGATCATAACTGCAGCTAGTTTTCTTGATTTTTTCTTTTTTCTTTTTACATTAATGATTTTTTACTTTCTATGTTTCTACTGTTATGATAATGATAAACATACAGATTTTGCTGAGCCCAGCTGTCGCTTTCTTCTGTTCTGTAGGGTTCCCACGCCAATACTGCAGGCTCTCCTGATTGAGTTACTGCAGGTTTGTGTGCCCGACGTCATTGACAACATTCATAACCCTGACCTGGAAGTGTCCGCTCTGTCGGAGATAGGATTCTTTGTGGTCCACTTGTTCCATCGGTGGTAAGTTTCTAGTGATCAAACTTCCTCAGCACTTATTAACTTTTATAACTTCACTGTTCTTCTATTGAACCTGGACTCGCTACAGAATTGAAGAAAAAATTATTTAATTTCAGAAGAGTACTCAAAAGCTTAAGGACTGTTATTGCATTCCCATACAGTGATTATGTGGCAACTGACTTTTACTGACATTTTAAGAGATATTGTGGATGACACTTTGCTTTCTGTTGGCTACTCTTATCTTCGACTTGCAGATTTCTAGGAATACAGAGCTGGAATCAGAGTGTTGTGAAGTTATTGGTATAGAAAGGAATAAGTGAGTTATGGTCTTAAATGTTAGGTTTGTGGCAATTTCTTGTTTTTTGAAGTTTTTTGTAATGAGTTTACCATCAGTTTGGCATTTAATGATTTTATGGGTTTGTAGATTAATAATTTGTTCATTTGTGCCGTAGAGATGCTAAAACATGCAAATCTTATTGTGTTTTGTGTACTTGTCATGCATCCAATCCAGTTAGGAAATATTCTACTTTTTAGTAACTGTTGATTGCCAGTCGGTAATGATTCGAATCATTGTACGTTTGTATTATGATTGCCCCCTACTTTTATTTGTTATGTAGGTGTGTTCGCAGTGTTGTGAGAGATAGCTTCCCAACAAAGCCAGTCAAGCAAGGTTTTATGACTGCGTATGTATTCTCATCATTGTTTTTGCTAATATGTGCGAACCCATTTTGTTTGTCAGCTTTCTTTATTTGGTAGTATTAGCTTACTATATCTAGCTAACTGAACTCTTTTGGAGTTTTGTGTTTTGTAACAGTATCTGAACCATTTTGTTCTGGGGTTGTTTTTTTCATCTTTTCTTTAATTCAAAGGAATTTTTAAGATCTAAACAATTACTGCTAATCATGAAGTGATGCTAAAGGAACAGATTGCTTATCGTCTTCTGATGGAGTATTTGATTTTTTCTTTGATGTGTTTACTTTTGTTAAGTTTTCTGTTAAGGTGATCATGTATACATCGTACATGTCTGACCCTAAACGTGAATGTACGTGAACATTGAATTTCAGAAAAGTGGGAAAAAACCCCGGCTAATTTCTTTCTTGTCGTGTACAAGTTTTGTGGCAGATTTTGTGTATAATGTTCTTTTTTACATATTGCAATATCACTAATTTTAATTACTATTATGAATAATATAATCTTAACCCTTTGAACCCTAAATCTTGAAATTTCTCAAATCTCTATCCCTGGACATTTTTTGCAAATTTCATCAAAGTTCACGAGGGCAAATACACAAAAAGACTGAGGGGAAGAACATGGAGAAATAAACACACATGTGTTTGCTCCCTTGTTTACCTTATTCCAAGGTGGAAATATTGTAAGGCAACAAACAAGAAATAAAGAGAGTGCTTTTGATGGACTACACAGGGTAGTCCGTGCCCCAGTGAACCGGCCTTACGGTTTTCAGCAAAATATTGCCCAGGCCGTAACGGGTTCAAAGGTTTAAACTAAAAAGAAAGTGTTTTACATAATTTGGCAGATACGCAGTAAGAGTTGGACACCAATGTTATGCTTTCAATAATTATTCAACAATCTCGTATTTGAGATTTTGTTGGAACTTTAGCTCGAGACCAATTAGTCGATAAACTGGAAACTTGTGTTTGCCTCTCCTAGGCCTGGCCAGGTGGATCCAGCAATAGCCATGGCTCAAGCTGCTGACACCATCATCAGAAAGGTATGTTGGCAGAAATGCTGTTGTATTTTGTCTAACTGTTATGAGGTCAATCTCTTTGTCTCTTTTTTCATTTTGTAGATGCAGACCACATATCTCGTGCTTTTGCAAATGGTAGGTAGGTGCTATGATGTGGTCTGTCAATTTTACATCTTTAATCAGTAATACTCCTGACCTAGTCACTTTTGTGGTGAAGTGTGAACTGTATGACTCTTCACAGTAAACTTCCACTAAATTCAAAGTTCCTCGTATTTGTTTTCCTGTCGACCTGGTTTTATTTTCAGTCTTTTTTCTGCCTCTCGAATAGCTGGCTTATTTCAAAATAGCTAATTATTTCGTTTTCAATTTTTTCCTCTTTCATGATGTAGTTCAAAGAGGACCTCCCTGCATCTATCAGCTTTCTGGAAAACTGCCTGACATTATTAGAGACGGAGCATGACAGTGCCCGCATGCCCACATCAGCTTGCTTCAGCCTGCCCAGGGAGGAAACAGATGCTCAGTTGCTGTGGCAGAACACCCAAGATGTCCCTGCTCAAGAAATGACCTGTCAGGTATCTTACCAAAACTGGAAATACTCTATTCTGTATATAAACATGTAAAATACCTTCAAAATCGGAATGTGGCTGCCTGAAGGCAAGGGGTCCCATAAAGAAGGAAAAACGGTCATATATTATGTTAAAATCAGCTGTACTACAGGCTGAATAACCAGCCGTCAGCTTCCCCCGAGGTCTAGAAGGGGAATGCAAAGAAGAAGAAAAAGAGGTATCCTTTCATCAGCCCACTGTGTAGTATAAAGTATCAATATTTCTTTCAGAGTTTGTAAGTTCCTATAGTCTGTGGTCCACTAGGCATAGTATGTACGTTGAGGTGGCTTGTGAAGTGGTAACTTTGTGTTTTACACTTCAGTTTGCTGTTAAAGCCATTTTAGATTTGAGTGGCTGGAAGATTTGTTTGAATTTTCTGAAACTGCTATTTCACAGATCTGCTTTGACCTTGGCGCAGTGTACTTTTTCAAAGGTGAATACAGAAAGGCATATGAAAAGTTCAGAGTTTGCAAACAGTTGCACAATCAGGTTTGTTGACTGTTGTTTGACATATCTAGATTTTCATTTTGTATTCAAGGGTGTGCTTCACTGTTTTATTTTGTCGTTATTTAGTTTTGTGAAATGATCTAGTTTTGACTTTTTTTTCTGTTTGTTGAGTCATTTTTCTCTCAGGCCTGTACTATTTCAGTAAAAAAACTGAGCAATGTTTTCTTTTAGCAATTCTGTCTGTTCTCAATAAATTGCTTACCCTTCACAAGTTACTGCCCCCCTCCCCCCCCCCCCCCCCCCCCCCACACACACACACACACCTGGAATAATAGGGATGTCATTGTCTTGCTTTTGCCACATTTGTGAAGTTAATAAAATTAAGCTTTAAAAAAATCAGTGAGTAATTACTTTTTGACTCTTTGATCGTTGACAGCTTATGGATTCTTTATGTATTTTAGTAGAGTATGACTGGCCATAGAAATGTCTCTTTTGGAGCTGGGAGAACAGAGAGTCTTTGGAAATTTGATCAGATCCGAGGATTTAATTTTGCAAAAAGTTGTTTGGAATTCTTAACAGCACCAGCAGTATGTCCAGAGTCATCAGCTAAATTTTTCAAATGGCCTAAGCCTAGAAAACAACATTTTTCAAGAGAGAAAAAAAAGCTGTTTTAATTGTTTTGCAAACTGGCCCTACTTTATGTATAATTCCTTTCTTTTTTAATTAAGCGCGCTGAGAATTTGAATTTCGACCAAGTATTTCATGAGAATATGCTACATATACCTTGGATTAAGAAAGTGCAACAAAGAAAACTTTAAAATTTTTAGACTTAATATACAGATGAAATGTTTTGTTTCTTTTGTCAATCTACTCTCTCTTTAAGGGTTAAGTAGTGCAAAGAAAGCTTTCCCTTTACCTATTTTCTCCACAGTCACAGAAGCTACAAAGCTAACTTGTTCATCAATATAACTGTTTATTCACAGTTGAAAAGTCCAGTGTACTGTTTCATTGACTTGGATCGCCTCCGAGGCTACCTCACCAGCTGTAGTAGTTTGCTCGGTGTCACATCAGATACAAAATCAACCAATCTCTTCGACAGAGTTGAATTGTCAAGGAAAAAAGACTTCCAGGTGTGTAATTTGTGTACATTTTAGGTCATTCTTTCATTAAATCTATATATTAGATTAAAAATATTTGATTCTGTGCTTTTCATATTGGTAGAAGATACTTTAATGTGGTTGTAATTTTAGTCTGTGGCTTCATTTTTTATTTGCTTATAAGTGGAAAAGATCAATGAAACTGAAAATCACTTTTCTATTCCTTGTTTACCATTGTTGTGCATTTTCTTCTGAAAGGGCATTGTTGAAATTCTCTGTGAGGATAATTTGAAACAAGAGCTGGATATGGCCTACAGAGGAAATCTTCAGGAGGAGCTTCTCAAGAGACAGTGAGTGTTCGAGTTTTTACCCTACTACTACTCCCCTAACCACCATTTTTTTACAGTGTACGAGCAAAAATAAGGACATTTTTAAAAAACAACTCTTTCTTTGTATTGTGTCTTCTTCAGAAAGAAATGAAAACCTTCTGACAATTACAGTGTATAAAACGTTTCACTTCCGTGAACTCTTATAATTGTTCCACTTGGTTAGCCTTTGACACAAAGTTTTGTGTGTAAGTAAGGATGGTGATAATTTTCTTTAGAAGTATTTTGAAGGTATCAAATCGTTGATGTTTTGCCTAATTTTAAAGTTAAAAGTTGTGCGTGCTCATTGCAGGGGTCTATTTTGTGAAATAGGAGTGAGAGAAGTGCTCCTTATGATTTTAAGGCTCAGTCACTTAAGAATTTTTCCTGTCTTCCTCCTGTCAGGATGTCTACGCTGCATGTTAATGTATACTTGTGCAATGTAGTGCGAACGGTCGTGGAGGGCAAGGCTTTAGTTTCGCCCATTCTGGAAACCCTCAAGAATGCTGACTCGTACATCCTGACGTTTCTCATTGAGGTAGGCCTCAGGTTTGGTTCTTTTTCTATGTCCACTTTTGTCCTTATAATTTGTGCTAGCTGTTTTATTGGTTTATAATATAGCCGGATTAAAGTTCAAACAGAGAGGTTTGTTAAAGGGAATAAGGTATGCATATACCTTTAGAGATAAATGCTCTTACTCTTGAAATTAAATTCACTTTCAGTGTACGATTTGAAACAGGTAGATTCCTTCTCATTAATTTGAAAATCTGTATTTTTCGTAGGACTGTGCTCATCAAAAGTATGTGTACAAGTGTTTCTTTCCTGTGATGTATGTCATTTATGGTCCACATTCATGAAATCCAAGTTAAAGCATCAGCATGCTAAAAACTTCAGAAGCTTTACGTGATTTGAGGAGGGGTGAAGTGATGAAAATGGGCTGTTGTAGTAAAGAATCATTTAATTGCTAAGAAATGACAGTGGGATTTCCATGACATTCTTTTAAGATTTGCTTTCATTTGTCTTCTGTCAGTTGCTCAGCAATGTCATGAAGGGAGCTTCCACCAACCAGAGATCAAACTTGAAGTGCTTCATTTGGTGAGTTTTGGTCAATCATTATACCAGTTGCTGACTTAAAGATATGAAGTGAATTAATGGTATCATTTGCATTGTTTTGAATCTATTTGACTTTTGCTGTATTTGAGAGTTCCTTCTGTGCCTTGTAAAAGTCAACTCTTTTGCTTTCCCGGCCCCACCCCTCCCCTATATATACATATTATATGATATATATGCTAGTACATGCATATACAATGTAATTGTGCCTCCCCCCCGGGCGGTGCCACTGACTGAAGTGTCTTTAAGCTGTTCTCAAAGGGGGGATATTTCTCATTCTAATGCACAGTAAAATTGTAAATGGACTGATCGAACAATGTCATGCTTTTACCTGTGCCTGAACTACAACAGGAAATTGCTGCTTTTCCTTTCCTAATCCTTACTATTGTCATTTTCCTCTACTTCTTTTGTATGTTTGTCACGCTCTTGTGACCCGTTATTTCCGGGGTGCCTTGATAGTCGAAGCAGACTTTGTACTGTTGAAGCTAGAGAGGTGAGCAGAGTAAGTCTGATTCCCAGTAAGGATTTCTCTGTTGACATCCACCCCTTGGCACTCATATGACCTTATGCAGTTGCGAGCACCATAAAACCTCTACTAAAACAAATTTAATTGTGCAAGACTACGGAAAGTTGTCTTTCAATGTCTATAATTATTATCAATACTATCAAGACTCAAATATGTGATGTTGAAAGTTATCTACGCTTCTTGAATTTGCCGCTGACCTTGCAAATCGTGTAAATATCTGTTTGCAGTAAAATAAAAATTGTTATTTTCATTTTCGTTCTTTCTGAAGGCACTTAATCGAGCTACTGCCTGTAGAGAGTGCATTTTCTCAGCATGTCTTAACTTCTGATCTGGCTACCTACTTCAATGAGGCTGAGATTGCTGAACTGGCTGTCGATGACGTTGACAGCAACAATTTGTACCTGCACGATATGGCCATGGAGGATGCTACTGCGATGACCAGTTATCCTTCTACCAGGGGTAGGATATATGTCATCATGATTTCATTATGTTTTTTATCAGTGATTCTGATTGACTTTCACATATTTTATACTCATTTTCTTAGTAAATAATATTTTGTTATAGACATCATTATGTATGAATATGACCTTTTGGTAGGTATCACAAACTGGCAGTGCGCCCCCGTATTTTTACCCTCCTAAAACAACGTGTGATCATGCAAACACACAGACACTTGATATATATCAGAAAAAGAGGAGCTTTTCCTCTTTTTAGTGGTATTATTTATTTGAATCAACGATTCTTTTGAAAGCGAAATCTTGCGGGATAAAAGACAACACTATCGGGGTTTTCACTGTAGCGGCCGTGCGTTTCGTGTATTGATTTTTAGTGTGACCTGGGTTGAACAGGAACGGGGAGCATATGGTATTAAATACTGCAATCTGATTCGTCGATATTTCAAGATGAGAAGACGCTCTTTCCGCTGATATATTTCTAAAGACTCGTTAAAGAATTAATAGAAGAGATTTGTGTGTGAAAACTTTCGGTGCTGTTTTTTTATGGAACCAGTGATCGGACTGACTACAGAAATATATCGGCAGAAAGCTCATTCATTCCTCTTCAAGAATAACACAGCCATTATACGCAAATAAACACCGGACGCTCCCCGTCGGCTCGCAAGCAGGGCACCATCGCCCCGGTTTTGCATAAATTCTCTCTCCTTCCCTTCATCGCGGCCAGGCACGCAGCCGATAAGCCGGTGGTCGCGAGTGGTGAATTTAACCTCCCGTTGTATTTCTTGTCGTTTTGGTCAAAAAGCCATGTTTACGTCAATAAATTTCCATCTTCTGGTTATTTGATAGCCCTGAAAAAAATGAGCTTGTTGTCTATGTGCATAGGTGTGTGTCTACAAGTTTTTGTGAATGTCCATTCAAATTTAAGAATGTTGTGACATCTCAAAGTGTAGACATTTCGCAATTAAAAAACTATAACTTTTTTCTGCAACTTCAGATGTTCATAACTTTGTTAAAAATGAAGCTATTTGTATAAATTTGGTATCAAAATGCTCAGAATGATAAATTCTATGAGGTAGTGTAGTTAACTATGAAATCAGAGGACTTTGAAATTTCAGTTTGTGGTACCTACTTTTGGTGTGTTTATATAATTTATCTTCAGTTTTTTAGAATTTTGTTTATTGAGTATTCTGATGTAGCTGGCTTCTTCTACTTATCTTAACTGTTCACAACTATTTTAAAGAAATGTCCTCCACATGTATGTGATGTAATAGCGCTGACGATATCATGAAATACTACATGTAGTATTAATTAGAACTGAGAAATTGGGATGACTCAATATTTGTTGTAACCATTGCTGTTTGTCCAAAGTTTCAAAGTTTCAAGCTGACAAGACCTGTCTGAGCTATTATAAATTACCCTCATATGTTCTTTCAGAATCTTCTTACAACATGAGCGATGTTGAAGGTCAACTGCTGGCCGTCTATGACCCGAAGCTCATCAAAGACATTTTGACGGAGATGTATCAAAATAGAGGCCTCAATGCCATGCAAATTATCTCTCTCAATGAAAAGGTAGGAAGCAGTTAAATTTTAAGAAATGTTGCCTAGTCTTATATGTGTTGTGTTTTGTTTCAAGCATAGTTTTGCTTTTACAATGAAAAAAGTTGTAAGAATTGTCACATCAATCGGCACTTACTAATTTTAATACTGTTTGTATATTTTTTAAATAGTAAAAAGGATGGGCTTTTCAGCCATATATTCTTAACTTGAATGTTTTAGTAAAGTCAGTTCGAAAATGTTTTTCAAAGTTTTAAAATTTTAAGCAAATATATGAGTTCAAATTATTCATCTATCATTTCTTTCCCCCTATAGTGGCAAGTCCCTAAAGAATTAAGACAGATGTTGGAATCTTCCAGCATGGATAAAGTGCGAGAGTTTGAACGCATCTACATCTACATTCTGGTGGCCAAGGCAAGACATTGCATGGATCTGAGGGTATGATTGAATTAGACTAGCTTTTTTTAAAAACTGTCACCTGGTTTTTTGTCATTTCTATGACCAAAAATAAATCAAATTTATGTTTAACTTCGACTTGTTCACTACCATGGCTATTTTTTCAACTGAGATTTCTTCTCTTGGAAAGGAAATGCTATTTGTTTGTTTTTAAGAAAATGCACGTGAGAAAGCAAAGACACCACTATAACCTTTTAAATGCTCATCCCGACCAATCTTACAAATTGAATCTTTTTTTTTTTTGTAATAAAATACTCCGTAATTGTTGTTCTTCTTTATGTGAACTGGTGGGCTGTAAGCTGAAAACCAGTTTCTACATCATAAAGAAGATTGTGAGGAATGTTTGATGCATGTCCTTGTAATAGTTTAGGATTGTATAACTGTGTGATCACGTTTAAGCTAGACTGAAGAAGTATAGGAAGAGATAAGTTACAACTTAAATCGTGAATTTCTTTTCTCTTGTGGACTGGGTTTGCTTCATGGATAAAAGATGGCAATGTTGAATTGTACAAATTTGCCCACCAAGTAACTTTTTTCCCTCCAATTATGATCCCTTTCTTGACCTTTCAGTACTGCCATTGTCTGGGATAAACTTCGTGAACTGAACAGTTTGCCATTACTCTATCAACTGGGTTTTTTCTATTTTGTGTAGCCAGTATATTTCTGTGAACAATGGGTGTTTGCCTATTCTTAATAAAGTGGCCTGCAGGACTGGATTTTTATTAATAAAGTTAAAAAAACTCATGCTTTCGGACCCATCCATACCTTTGCAGTTGGCAGGAAGGTGCTACTTATTGGGTCTTGATCCCTTTGTATTCATCTCTTTCAGCTCTGTTTTGTCTTTTTCCCAACTGAATGACTATTATGTGTTGGTGTTACCTGTACTTGCCTGTTGGTGCCCCCCCATTCCCTTCCTCATCCTTACTATCATCATTTTCCTCTACTTCATCTGTATGCTTGTCACTCTCTTGTGAACTGCTATTTCCGGGGTGCCTTGATAGTCAAAGCAGACTTTGTGCTGTTGAGGCTGGAGAGGTGAGCAGAGTAAGCCTGATTCCCCGTTTGGACTTCTATTCTGACATCCACCCCTTGGCGCTCATATGACCTTAAGCAGTTGCGAGCGCCGTAGAACCTTACTAAAACCTAAACTGTTCCTTGCCTCAGCATTAGGATGTGCCCACACACGTTGATGTGATTTACTAAAATCAAATTCACAGATTTATGAGAGGGCACGGCAGCTTCTCCGTGTGGCAGAGTCCATCCTGTCTGATCTGTCATACGTTGGGGCCAAACACGTGGGCTGGCAGGTGCTGCTGGCTGAACTGAGCCAGTTTTCCTTCAACCAGATGGTCAGCGAGGAGCTCAGCATGCCGGACCTGGTCATGCAGGCGAAGCAGTGCATCACGCTCATACGCCTGGGTCAAGGTAAAAAGAAACATGGCTGGTGACTGTGGTGCTCTTGTCTACAGAGTTGATCAAACGGGCGGTTCATAGGTCATCTGGTTTGGTCTGCTCCCCTTTATTTTTTTCAGCGATAGTCAATGCATGGAGAAACATTAGCGCTGAAAAGTGTCGCAGATCTGGTAGGTGGTGGTGATGACTGTTGTTCTGTTCTGCTTCCTGGTGAAATATAATACCAGTCATCGTGCTAACCCACTAGCCTGCCAAATCTGTCCCCGTAGAATTATGCAAATTTAGATGGCCATATTATGCAAAAAAGCAAAATTATGCAAAAATTATGCAAGTTATCGTTACACCATTCGCGACATGTTTTGCATTTTTTCAGCAAGAATTTTCATAATTTTCATGTTTTATGTACAGAAAAATTGAAAACAAAAGGTGCTACAGAACATATCAGTATCAGTAATTTGTCATGTATTTGGAAAGAAAACAATACACATCAGTCAGAATAAAAAACAACCAAAAAATATAATCTCTGTAACTTTCAGCTGTAGATCTAGATCTCTATAGAGGAAAGGAAAATGTCAACAAACCCCCCCCCCCCGAAAAAGGACGTCTGGACCTCTGATGATGGCACTTTACTAAAACCAGGGACACCTGTCAAACATGAAACATCAGCAGACATGAGAACAACAACTTTTGATGTATTGAAAAATTGAACATGCTCAGGAAACAAATCCCAACCCATAACCAAGATCTTCTAACAAGGGAAATGACCAACTTGTCACTTAAATGTGACTTATTACGGTGATTACTTCCATTTAGTCACATGGCGAGGTGTTAATTAAATGTTTTTTGAAAAAAAGGGAAAAAAACGTGAAAAAACGCGGGGAATCCAAAATTCGTCCCTCTAAACACGTACTAACGTAAGCCACATCTGACCCGAAATCGAGTTATAGCAATCACGCGATTCCCTTTATCCGATACTACATCCTCTCAAAAGATGGTAGGAATCGAGCAATAAATAGCTGAGATATAGTCGATTCCAGTTTGAACGTATCCCACTTGCCCACAAAAAGATACAGCACGTACTAACACACTGTTGGTTACGTTAGTTCGTGACACACACTTTGACCCAATGTTGTGTTTTTATTATACGGCACACACTAACGTAAGCCACACTGCCAGGGCTAAGCCTATGGCAATAAAAACATCATGCAGCACTTCTAGAGAGCGGGAAGACAAGCTAAACTACACACGTGAGCAGCGTGCTTCGTGTGAGGCAGTGAAGGCTCAGACTCCACTTCTTGAAGTCCCTTTTTACTCGTCCTTTGTTTACAAATGGGATCCCGCTCTGAAAAACCACTCTTTCTTTGACATGTAGCCCTACTGTTCAAACTCTGATTGACATTCAGAACCCTGGTGAAGTCTTAAGCTTACAGACTGCAGAAAGTCATGGGTGTCCTTCTGCCACTGAGAACTTTAAGGGACAAATAGATGCATGTATGTGCTTCAAGGACACTGATATGCTTAGTAAGGCAGGCAGTGATGAAATGTCAGTGTGAGGCTACGACTCAGATGGCGATCCGGAATTCAATCCTGGAACATGCGAGGTCAAAAGGTGCAATGCTGAAGTATGGGCGGCTTGTCCTGATTGTGAAATCCTTCTTTGCTTTGATCATTTCAATAAAGAGATTGCATCGTGAGTTCAACATGAAAAAAAAGCAGAAGAAGGTCAAAGGAAAAAATCAACAACATGTAAAAGCTGTAGGTAGGCCCTCAAAGTTTAAGATTCCCACTGGTGTGAATATGAACACTGATGCTCCCGATCAGTTTCAGACAAAGGAAACAGTCATTGATGAGGGGGGAGGAAGAATGCAAAGATCAGTTCCCGAGCAGTACACAGTGGAGGGAAGTGAGAAAGAACTCAGAAAGGAAAAGAAACTCAGATCAAATAAACAGAAGGAAGCCAAAATGAAGAGGAATTTGGGACAAGAGTTCACAAGCATGTACCACATGTTCATCCAGGAATGGATACCAAGGACAAGGCCATCAAGCTTCACTACATAAAACGATGTATTCAAAAGTACAAATCTGTCAATCCACCGACCCAAGAAAGACCAGTGCTCTCTTTGTGTCAATTATCACCAAGGAAATGAAGAAACAAAGAAAGGTCTTACGGAAAAGTTTGAGATCCATGTGGGAGCAAAAGAAAAGGTCAGGGAAATAAAGCATCTATGCAAGAAAGAAGCTCAGGAAAGTGAAAACATTCTCTGTGCAAGTTTTGATTTGCAGCAGGTCATTTACCTCCCTATGACTCAGGAGAGCGCCATCTTTTACAAAAGGAGAATTTCGAACTACAACCTGACTTTCTATAACATTGCTAACAGAGATTGTCACTGCTTCACTTGGGATGAAACGCAAAGCAAACGTGAACCCTCGGAAATTTCAACTACAGTCCACCGTGCCCTGGAATTTTATGACAACCGTGGCATGAAAAAAGCTTTTCTTTTTGCCGATGGATGCAGTGGTCAGAACAAAAATTCGATTACACCTTCGATGATGTTGTATACTGTGAACAATAGTGTGAATCTTGAAGAGATTTCATTGAGGTTCTTTGAAACAAACCATGGTCAGAACGAGGGTGATTCTGTACACAGTGCAACAGGACATGCCCTGAAGAGGGCTGGGGATTTGTTCCTTCCTTCTCAGGTAGCAACAGTAATGTCTCTCGCTCGACCTCAAAAGCTTCACCTGGTGAATCAGATGCAGTCTAAAGACTTTCTGGATCTCAAAGGCTTATCAAAGGACTTGAGAATCCTGGACGCACGAAGAGGATCTGATACGGAAGATACATTTTCATGGAACAATATCATGGAACTGCGAGTCACTAAAGAACAGCCAGATAAAGTCTTCTACAACAAGACGAGCCACTTTGACATTTAATTCAAAAGCCTGTCCCTCAAGAGACTGAAGAATAGTGTAAAGGACTGTGCACTTCAGAAACTGAACTCAGGACCAACAAACATTTCGACAGAAAAATTAACTGATTTGGTTTCACTCTGTTCTGGTCCCACACCAGTAATTAAACTGGAAGAGCACAAAGCTTTTTATCTTTCCTTACCCCATGAGTTATAGTTGGCTGTGAAGGTCTCCTTTGGGGCGAAGCTATTTTACTTTGTTCGCTAAGGTGTAACTCCAGCTTAAGTATATGGCAGTCAAGTTATGACACAAAATGTATTTAATTTCACATTTTCTACTTTATTTCTGAGTTACTGCTTATTAGTCTTTGAAATATGTCATTGAATTTACATCTGTACAGCAAGATCATGTTCCCAATACGCCTAAGTGGAGCTCTAACTCTAGTAGAAATGTTCCCTGAATTCTATATTATTTGTTTTTGCAAATTTGAAAATTTAGTGAGCACATAGATCTACTAGCTCAAGTTTTTTGTAGCTTGTTTTATTTTTAGTAAAACACTGCTTCCCATATTAAACAGGATAGTGTTTCACAAAAGAATAGTCCATATTGAAACGTTTGTTTAAGCAGTAGATAGCTGCAGTGATTATTTAATTTTAAGTTGATTTTTTGATCATGTACAGTTGGCGTCTGTATATTCCGAGTTGTTGTTAACATTGTCATTTGTTACAGATAATACAACCCGTGAATTTTAAACCAAATCGATCTTTCTTTGTATTTTTATTGTTATTTGGAAGTTACCATTTAGGCGTAAGCCACGCAATGAACGCATTATGCTTTAGAATACAAAAGCACGTACTAACGTATCCAACAATCTAGTAACGTAAGCCACACATCGAGGCTTTCACTGATGTAGCACGTACTAGCGTATTGGACAAAAAGGTCATTTTTCCTTCAAAACCTACTAATCTCACAAAGATGCTTCTAGCCAATTGAAAAGTAATTGGACCACACACGTTATGTCAAAATATTAAGGGCAGGGTCGGATATTTGACGCCACAATGGGATGGTGAAAATCGCTCAAATCTTTAAACGTCTCTCCTGCAAAACTAACAAAATGTGGCTTACGCTAGTACGTGTTTTGAGGGACGAATTATGCCAGTGTTGCAGAATTACGCGAAAAAATGCGGCCGCACAATTGCATAGTCCTACGGGGACAACCAAATTCAGGGTGATCAAAAAAAAAACGTATCATCTTTTTGTCAATATTTTTCTCCACACTGAAGCTTTGTGTTTCAAACTTGAACACTATATTTGGCAGCCAAAAGGAATTTGTCTGATATTCATTTGAGAGAATTCCACAGAATAGTTTTGCTTTGTATAACGCATAAGAAAACAACCCATATTTAGCCTTGTCCCCATGACGCTCCAGTTCGCATAAGGCCTGCTCCTAAAAGTCTCAACGATTGCGCCATATTGCGAGCTACAGCAGTCTAACAAGTCAACCGAAGTTTGCAAATATTGTTTTTCTCAAGTTTCTTTTGCCAGCTGAGATCTTGGCTGACTTTAGGAAAGATCAGAGAGCTTTTTGTATTGAACATTACCTCGCCTCCAACTCCTCATCCCTGGCATTTCATAAGTTTCGCTCAAGGTATGGAAAAAATGCTTTAAAGCGTCCTCAAGGCCTTCTTTGATGTCATGGCCAGAGATGTTCTGTCAGTTTGAATCTATAGAAAATCAGATTTTTTTAAAATTCCTGGACTCTATCATATGTTACTGTCTTAAAACTGCATCTAGCGAAGTTTTACGCTAAGCAGTCTATTTGTACCGTCTTCATCCATCCTGAAGTCTTTCTATTTCTTACCCGAGCTCTTGCTTCAATCGCCAGATATAACTCCCAGTATAGAAGTCATTGAGCACTGTTCAGCCTTCCTGTGTAACATCCGGGAGTGGGGATATCTCTCAGATCTCTGCAACACTGCCGATGGCTTCATTGAGGTGAGATTTATTTTACTCTCAAGATATTCTGGAACAAGACTAGCACTTGTGGTTTGAGTGCTTTTTTTCCTGAATTTTCTCAAAACCTAAAATATGTGATAAATCAGATATTCTGTAAGATATTTGGCACTTCACATCTCTCTTTATGTTTATTCTGTCTATCTCTCTGCTTTTCATTGAATCCTAGAAGTTTCTGAATTTTACTGCAAATGGGCCATGGTCTTGGTATTGTAGTTGCATGCAGGACATTCCTGAAGAAGGATATTCCCTCTACAAACAGGGTTTATTGGTTCGTTGATAAAGAAAAAGAAGTAGCATCTGTTTTCATTTGCATAATCTCTTTTTCTGGTGTTGCTCCCTTATCATTCAAAGTAAATCAATGGCTAGTTGTTCAATTGTACTAATCCCAGAAAGCAAAATTTTCCAGGAGCGAGAAAAAATCATTTTCACTCTTTTAACAGGTTTACCTACTTTACATATCTTTTCTTGCTTTTTTCAACATTTAGCATTTGAATTTTGACAAAATATTGCTTATTGCTTGAGTGAGCACAACGAACTATACTAAAGGTTGAAAACGGCTATTTTTTTAAAATTCAAAATTTTGGGCTTAGTACATCTGATGAAATATGTTCTATCAAAATCATGAACTTGGAATGTTCAAACTGTTGCAGCTTTCCCGGTTCATGGCATGCCTGGTCAAAGAGATCGTACAAAAGAAAAATGTACGCAAGCAAGCTCGTGAGCTGTGGGATGCTGTCCTAGGAGTGTATCAACCAGGTATGCTGCTTTTGTGTAGTTTGAAGTTCATTTTATTCTTGATTCTTCTTCTTTTTTTTTTTTGTTCTTATCGACATCTGTTGTGCAATGATTAGGCTTTTCACAGTTCCCTGGTTGTGAGGTCTATAATACTGAGTATTTTTGTCTTTCTTCGAAGGTATTGTGTCTCTCTCAACCCCAGACTGATCCTGACAGGCAGGGTAGAAGTAGCCCATCACCTATATTATCTTAATGTGTTGGTGGAGGCACAAAATATGCAATATCAGATCAAATATATCGCTCTCCCCTCTTTCTTTTCAGGTGTTATCAGTTGCGATATTTCTGTCCTTGTCTATTTCTGATTTTTATGCAATCTTTGTGCACAGGAAATGCCAAGCGACCCCAGACCACTCGAGACAGTGCAATGAGGAGGGACCAACAGTACGGACTGCTGCCACGAAATCTTTTCATCAGCTTCGTTCAGAAAATCAAAGAGCCTATGCTCCTCTCCATCCTCATTTCTCTTTTCACCAAACTCTACTGCATCCTCAAGGATGATATCACAAGTGAGATTAACACAGAATACGTGAATCTGTGGCCGACGGCGATAAACGTATCCATTGGCACCGTGTCTTCTGTGGAGGAAACCATGAAGATGCTACTGTCTCACAGTTTGAGGGTGGACCCCACTCAGCCTGCCTGGCTGAGAACACAGGCAGACATCTACTTTGTAGAAGGCCAGCATTCTACGGCAATGAAATTTTACCTTGAGTCAGGTAAGCTGATTTTATTCTTCTGGTTTAGTATACCTGTTTAAACACTGTTTAGATCATATAGGGCAAACTTGGGCTGAAAAGGATACTTCATTTCAGCAGAAAGACTGAGTAATTACATTTAAATTTTCCCCACTTTGGAATCAAACTAAGTTTTTTGCATGAGAAGGCAAAGTCCCAAACCACAACACAGCTTTTTATCTATTTTTAACTTTTGATATATTGATAACATACACAATAGCAATTTGTTTATTTCTCAAATAAGCATTAGAAATTATTTGTTTGTGTTAGTGATGTTCTGAAATACTGAAAGTTGTTGAAAGATAACTATGGTTGTAGTTGTGGGAAATATATATATTTATTGACCATTCTTTGAAAAAATGTAATTTCTTTTACTGTGCAGTAGGAGGTATTGCATCTATTTCATAGAGCCATCGTCCCGAGTTCTAATCTCTAGCGAAGATAGTGGGATTTCTTTCATTTTTAGTCTTCTGAAATGCTAACCACTTGATTTAAGTGGAATCCTGTCTTTGAAATAGTCTTGCTGTGACAGATGTGGTGCTATACTGACCAGGGACATTTTCTATCAAATCAAATTCTGTTGTGTATTGTACTTGAACATGTCCATCCTATAAAACATATTTCAACTGACCCCTGTCCTGGAAATTGTGCTCCGTGATTTCATTTGCTGTATGGGAAGTATATCTTATAGGAAAAAAAAGTCTTTTCCCTCATGAAAGAAAGTATTAAAAAAGCTTTAAATATTTTCCTTTGTATTCGAAGATGCTTTCTTAATTCTTTAAATTATTATTAGTTAACTAGTTCGTTGTTCCGTAAAGTAGAATGGTCTCATTTCAAATTGCCCTTGTTACAGGTGTGGTTGCCACCGACTTCTTCACCTGTCCTGTGCCCAAGTCTATCTATGACGACACTATCTACCGACGTATGATCAAGTGCTGCTCGTATCAGCAGTGCCACACCCAGGTGGCCGTGCTGTGTCAATTCCTCGACGAGGTGGACTACAGCACTGCCTTCAAAGCCTTGCAAGAACGGAATGTCTACGACGCCATGGACGCCTACTACTGCTGCCTTTGGGATGTCAGTATACTAGAATTTCTGGTGCACTTGCACACCCGAAAGGGAGAGATGGACAAACGTCAGGCTGCCCTCCGCGCTCTCAGTCAGATGGACATCAATTCCAACAACCCAGATCAGATTCAGCGCCGGGCTGTCCATGTACGAAAGACGAAATTCCTCAGGGCCTTAGCCAAGCAGTACCTGGGCTAAAAATCTGTAAATTGAGCTGCAGTGTAGTTATACCCGACGCTATCACGGCCCACCTCTTGTATCTGACCAGCCCATATTACTTCAGGGTAGTGCTTGTTTCATGTCTGGATGTTTCTGGAACTTCAACTATCCTACAGTGAATGTTCCCAAATTTCTTCTTTCATTTGGTTATTTCTGGTCCATAGTCCAGTAATGTCTTTTAAGTTCTTCGGCATCAAGTGCCACCCTTGTTCCATGGGGACTAAAAGGTCACTTGAAAGGTTAAGGCATCTCATTGTACTGATGTCAATAACTTTGCTGTTTATCACTTTGGAAATGTGGGTCTTCAAATTTTATCATGAACACTAGTAACATCTGCTTACATGTTAAAGGGCATTCCTGTGACAGGCCTAGGAAAAAGGCAAATTACACTACTCCATTTTACCCTGAGTTATTTTGCTGGGGGGGGGTCGTGGTCATTACGATTAAACTACATGTTTGTGCTGCCCAGCCCTTGGACAAGACCATAATTTCCATGTTTCTTGTTTCTTTCTTTTCTTTCTTTAGTTCTTCAGTCATTTCTATTGTTGAACTGACTCATGTCAGAGTCATATCCATCTCAACTCATCTTGATTGGGACCACTCGTGTAGGGTGGAATGCAATGATGACAGGTCACATGTCGTCACAGAACTTACTGTGGCAGTAATTTGTGTACAGAGGCACCAGCTAAGGTAGTTGCATTGTCTGTAAATTTCTGGTTTTCTGATACTTTAAGTCTCTAGATTCTCATGAAATGGCCAGTTGCCTTTGCACTTTTCATTTAGATCACTCCTGAAGTGAGAAGAGTGATTGTGACATCTTATTTATGGTTTAAAAACTGAACATTCGATCAATATTAATGTACAAGCTTTGCAATCTTAAAATGAAACGGTAAATTTAGGCAATTATTGTCATAATTTTATCATGTATGTATGTTTTTGCTAAGTCAAACAGCAGTATTATATTTGTGTAAAGTTTCTACTGAACAGGCTTTCACATCGCTGGCACCTTAATGACCTTTGATGAAGGCATAATGGGGGAAAAAAACTGTCTTTAGATACATTTTGATTTAATATTGAAGAAATAAAGAGGGAGAAAGAAGAAACTTGTTTTGAAAGGTAAAGATTCGTAATTTTTATGACATATTTGTTAAAGCTATAATCTTTGTTTCAGGTCCTCATTTAGTTATAATTTTATAGTCGACGTGTGAGAGAGAAAGACAACAGAAAGTGAAAGAAAGAGAGTTCCTATGGTTTGGCACTGTACTGCATTTTTTTGAGTGTGGGGTTGGGGGTTTTTTTATATATCGAATATATGTGTGCGCAGTGTTCATAACCTTATAAAAGTTATATACTCAATTGCCTTTTGTTCACTTCCTATACTTATTCTTTTCTTATTTTTGTTGTATAACATTCTGAAACCAAAGTTAGCTTGAAATACTGTTACTTGAATTAATGTTGACAATATATTGTGTTCATAGTATAGATCTGTTATAAAAAAACTGTGTTCTCCTTTTTCCCGTCTTCATGTAACATGTAATCATAAATCATACCTCTCACTACTTATGAAGAGTTTTAGAGCAAAACCCTGGACGTCTAAAAATAGTGTCATTTTATTTTAAAAAGCAACTTTTTGTCTTCATGGCACATACAATATAATATATAATATACTTTTTTTTAAATTAAAAATTTTGGTACCAAAAGTTGTTGTGTAATATATGTTTTCAAGTATGAGAACATGGGATAACGAGACGTGCATTATAAGTTTTGAGTGAATGTCTTAGAATTTATTATAATAGAGCTATATTTACTGCCTTTTGAGTTTGCTCTTTTGAGTTTGTGCGTTATATTCTGTACCTCTATTCTGTATCCTTTTGTCTTTGCTGTGGATGTATTTTTTTCTTCTGTTTTCTCTAATTATGAGATTGCTGATTTATGAGTTACTGTGACAACATGGTGCCTTGATACCTTGTAAGTGTACATGTGTTTGGAGGGTGGGGGGTGGGGGTATATTTTCAAGTATGCAAAATGTGTGTTGGGCCATGGTGTAAAATTTTTTGAGGTTATGTAGAAATACATGCTGAATGCTCAGTCACGGGTAATTTGGTGTGATTGAGTGTGAGTGATAGTGATGGTGTATGCTCAAGGACATGAAGAGATAAAAAGGGGTGATGAGGGTGGCAGATGATTGAAAGGTCATATTGATCTTCAAAGATGTTTGTGTTATTTTAGCTGACAGTTTGTTTCTCTATGTGACCTTTGCTTTAAAAATGTCTTTGATTCAATGTGGGTTATCCCACGTTTGATCACAAGAGAGCCTTTTTATAATTTCATGATTATATATATATATATATATATATATATATATATATATATATTTATATTATATATCAATGGCTGAGCACAAGAAGTGACTTTATCCACTTTTGGTCGAAATGGAGAAATCGCTCTTTTACCTCTGTAAATATGTAAGCCATAGCTGAATTTGGTATAGTCACATTCATTTTTCTTTTTTGACTATGTTATGGAGATTTCAAGATCAAAATTTCAAACTTGTTTTTCTCGAAACTTTGAAAAGTGGACATGGTCATTTCTTGCAATCAGTCGTCAATATGTTATTTGATGCAGTATCAAATGAAAAGAAGGTATCATTTGTGAACTATGTTGTATGATCAGAATTACTTGTATAATTTGATGTCTGTTAATAAAAGTGAATAAATAGCTCACTTGACTCCCATCATTTATGATAAAATTTTGCAACCAGAACTCCTGTTTCCATTTATACAATCGAACTTGTTCTTGGTGACCACTGACCACCCATTGTCAAGAAGAAAAGTGGTCATCTCAGTCAGGTGGTCCCCTCGGACAATGTCATCATAAGATATTGGGGGGGGGGGGGGGGGGGGTGTGGTTGTTTGCACAGATGATTGTTTTGGACTGGTGGTCTTTAGAGCAGGTTCGATTGTACAATATATATGTGTGTGTGTTAGCTGTTTGTGAAAGTCATTTTAGGACAATGAAAACATAAGGGGAGGGGAGCCTAAAACATCTTGCTCACATTAGTCTGTAGAGTGAAAGTACTATTAGTCTGAACAATAAATGACACTGAGGGATCACAGCACCAACTTGGTAGAACAACATTGCACTGTTAAGTACACTGTCAATGTTTAGTAGAAAACATTATACACAGTATACAGGTGACGCAATGAGGCGAGGATGACGATATAATATACAGAATTAATGTTTGAAAGGTCCCTCTGCAGAAGACAAGAGAATGGTAAAAGATGGATCTAGATGAAAAACTAAACAGAATGTAACTTCAGAGCCAGAGAACAGTTTTAAAGATAGCTATAAAAAAAGTTAGTTTTAGTATGAGTTTTGCGGCACTTGCAACACAATAAGGTCATATAAGTGCCGAAGATTAGAGGTGTTACAAGAGAGTAACAAACTAAAAAGGAGGAGGAGAGATCAGGAAGATAGATGTTTACTATTTGATAGGAAAGAAGAAGCAAACCAAACCAGAGCACCCATTAACCACCCTCATACAAAAGTTAAAATAGTACGGTACACAGCAAAAATGAAAAATTCAAGCCCGAGCCATCATAAATGATAAAAATCTTTGCAAAAAAGGACACATAAAGAGAGGAAAATGCACCAGAGACCTTGAATTTTATAGGAAACAATGCTGCCACGCCCAATGGCAAGAGTTTTCCAAAAAATTATTTTGGGTTCTTTTTCACTGATAATATCTTTACAGGCCAAAACATTCAACTTTACTTTGAACTCTACGTAGCACATTTTGGCAGACCTTTACAAAAGTATAAAAAGATATGGCAGATGAGGTTAGCCAATTATAAAGCCTTTGGTGCTATGAAGGGTAGCTTTCAGCAGAGAAAAGAATGGGCAATCTAGTTGAAAGGAAAAAGAAAAAAGACTGAATTCAAAGTAATTTAGAGGCTTGCAGAATTTCTTTCAAAAATCACTGTAAATTTCACCCCAAAAAATGTCCTGGTTTTGTATTTGAGATGTCTCATGATTCTCATGGCTCTCCATTCACTTTGCTGTGTTTACGTTAGGATGGGATTTTATGGAGTTCCATCTTCCGAATAACTGACAAAAACATACAGACATAAAGAAGAATCGATAATTTCCAGACAGCATTATGCATTTATTATGAATAAACATGGCAACAATATAATTTGTGGCAAAAGTGAGTATCATCATCATAACAGAGCAAAGATAAATTTCTCAAAAACTTATAGAAATAACTGAAGACTTTTAGGGGAAATGGGGAAATGCATAAAAATCATGGAGCAAATTTCAAATCGCCAACAATACTGACTAGGGCAAATGATAACTCCATACAGCTCTTGAGGCTCTCAGTTTTTAGAAATTGAAAGCAAATTTTGATACCTCACAATATCATATTCTCAAAACAACCCCCACCCCCCCCCAAAAAAAAAACAAACCCAAAAAACATTACTTCAGCTTGACCTTTGTTTATATATCATGCTCAACCACATGAGACATGGGTAAGCTTTGAATTACAGGCTAGAAATCCATGGCAGCAAATACAGTTACATTATTACATTGGCGCAAAATTGAAGTGTTAGTTTACAGTAGTATTCTGTGTACCATAAGCCCCAAAACATTTTTAACACGTTTTCACACTCATTTGCACCTTCCTTTCTATTCTGTCAGCAGTTTGGTCCTTTTGGAGATCCCATCTCTTAAAAAACCTAACAGTGTTGACAGGGGTGTTAAACAGTTACCATTTTACCATTTCTTCGTCAGCAACTGAAAGATCTTTTCACAGTATGCCAATTTGAGGGGGGGCTAACTTGAGTTTCGCCACTTCTTGTACATTAAATATAAAAGCAACAATTTAGGAAAGGCCCACCCTCCAAAAGAAAAATCACAATTGGTAACAATAAAGAATTTATAGTCTGTTGTGTATGCAAGAGATGGGTCTTCATTCAAAGTTCCCATCACACATTGAACTTCTTACCACAAGGCATTTCATTTCTTTGGAAAGGAGAGAGTATAAAAAATGAAAGATCACATTCACTTATTCACAACATCCCAAGCCATGTGGAACGTAAAGAATTTGTTGTCATTTGTCATAAAAATAATTCAATTTCCAAACAATACAAAGGGAACAAACTAATCTGGGTCATACTGACAAACAACTGGTTCAAATAAAGAGACGAAAGTTCTGGTATGCTTTTGGTGACATTCGCTTCATATTGACTAAAATTTTCTTCAAACTTTCAAAAGTGGTATCACTTCTACTGTTAGCTATAGGCTTGAATTATGACAGGCGATTCCCACTTTTCTTGGAGCACCAATTCTGTTCTGCAACTGAATACCCATTGCCCCTGCTAAACTCCATCAGGATCAATGTTGAGAGCCATGACATAATCATGCATGGCGTACTTCCATGTGCAAAGACGAGCCATACGATCAAATTGAAAGCGGTCGCTCTTGAACAATTTGCCAACTGTGGGCTCCATGCATACAGTGCAGAATGGGTCAGTGAGTAGGGATTGGATGCTGATAAGAACTTTGGATATTGTTAGAGCCAGACTCCAGTTGTGGTGTATAGAGTCGAGTCCCACATCCCCATGGCGAGAAATATTTGGGTGGAAGATCTTGGTGATAAACCTCACCTTGGGAGGTCGCATTGGGTAGCTGAGGAAGACAACAAATAATAAATACTTATTCGACGAAACATCCACTGGCATTTTAGTACTGTGGGAGGTCCCAGAAATGACAGGAACATATTACAGACTGAAACCCTCTTCTGTTTATTCATATTCATTTAAGTTAAACCAGGACAGGAAAACAGCAAAGGAAAATGTATCCTATCAATAAGATGTGACCATGTCATATACTGCAGAGGTAGATCTAAAAGATAGGTACCACAATAAACGAAACCCTTTGTTCTCTAGCAAAAAGTAAGAAGAAAGATTACTTTGCAATAGAGGATACCAAAAGAAATAAAAATCACTTTGGATTGAGTGTTCTGTAACTTAACTATCAAGCGATGCTTATCAAACAGGACAAGAGCTTGACATTTTTTTTTTAGCCCTTTTCTCACTGAAACAACTTGACTAGACACAGAATGACTGCAAGTGTGTAGCCTTATCAGCTATAGTTCAGGGACAGCAAATACCGGCTGTTATTTATCTGTGACGACAACCAAAGAAAGGTAAGTTTACACTTTTTGTATCACTGTCGGATGTTCAGTCAACTGTACATCATATGCTTCGGAAAACAAAGCATAGAGGAAAGTATGTCCTGTAGCTTCAAATACAAAGGTAATCTTTTAGACCTATTTTCTTCTCCCAACCAAGGACCTTTTTTCCTCCTTCAGAAACAGCAAATCCATTACTTTAATTACAATGAAGAACACAATTTCTTCATGCAAACCAGTCAGTCACCGTGATTAATCTGTGACCATAATGAAATATGAACATTCTGTGAGAGTCCTTAGGATCAATGAAAAAAATTCACATTCAGGGAACAGTCAAAGGACAAAAGTTACAACGATAAAATTTATAATGCAAATACAGTTGTATACAGAATGCTCTCTCACTTCACTCAAAGTAAATATCCATACATCAGCTTTTGCAGTCGTATTTCTACTTAATGTTTACAACAGAAAATTTGTATCAACAGTAAAAGTAGTACTTCTCAAAGTAAAACTATACATATTCTAGACAAATCATAAAAAGACAATCAGTACACCCCCCATACAAGTGTCACAGCATAGGCCTGAAATAAGCAGTGACTTCAAATTCCAGAAACACATTATTTCAGTACCTTTTCTCATACCATAATAATAGCCTCTTCTGTTTTTTAAGTACCTCTTTAGTTTCTAAATTGCCATAACCATTGTGCATCTTAAAAATCCACACATAAAGTAATTTCGAAAAATTGTGTCCGTCAGTTTTACAACAAAAAAAAGAAACACCAAGAATCATACAAACTTCTGAAATTCCAGAATGCAATCAAAGCCAAAAACATTGTTTGTGTCAAGATTGGACTGTTACACAAAAATGCTTCTCAGAGTTGACTTTGACACAGACCCTGAAGTCTTGGTCTACTTTTCAGTGTTTTGTCCTTTAAGTGTTATCTTTCTCAACTAAATTCCCCACAAGAAGTAGGCCTACTTATGTTGACAGGACAAAAATATTTTAAAGAGAGTTAATACTAATAGTCTGCTATCATCTTGCCAAGTTTATAAGTGCAAAAAAACAAAGATTTTAAAGAATAGTTTGAGCTTTTAAGAGAAGTCTCAACAAATACTTGACAGGTATTTAAAATGGTCAATCCTGGTTTACCTCTCCCGAGACTGAAACTCTGATACCTTTCTTTTTTTTTCAAAATCATGTCAAACCTATCCACATTTCAAAGGCCTGGAAGAAAGACTATTCATAACTTGTGTTGAATAATTCAGAGGCTGTTTTACGTGTTTGCGTGAAACATAGGTAGAAAAGCTCTAAAAATACATATATAGTGGAATAAATTCAACTTTGATTATCACAGCATACCAAACATATAAAACAAAAATAAAGCACACACACACACATATACACACACACACAAACAAACAAACAAACGAGTTTAGACAAAAATATCAAAAGAGAACTTTCACTCACTTTTGCGGTATTTGTAGATAAAGTAGAAATAGTCCCCCCTCGTATGGGCTGCCTTGTGGACCTGTGATGGATGCCTGCCAATGGCAGCAGTACCTGTCAAGGGGTGTGGCCTGAATGCCTTCAGGGGGGTCTGTTCTGAGTGTCTTCAGTTCGCTGCGCAGGCGACGATGGCGCCAGGAGTTTTCCTCTATGGGTGGGGTGCTCTGTGCATAAACAGGCATCACAATAAGATGATATAAACTGCATTAATTTAATTGCATATATATAGCAGACCCATAGAGCAGGTAAATGGTGAACCAACCCAAATGCATACAGGTGTGAATGGTCACATATGACTACAATGAGTACTATTTTAACTTGTACAACATCTCTTAAGTAGGAAAATACTCACATGCACAAATACAAAAACATTACTATCCACCCCTCCTCAGACACAAGAGGAACAGACACACCTAAGCATGCAGAACAGACATACCCCCTCCACATATACACATGCATTTCCAGCACACATACATTATAACATGCATATAAAGATTAACAGCATTTCACATTTCAACTGCACCGGGTGTCTGCTGTAAGTACCCAAGCACAGACTCAGGACATTCTAACAAATTAACTACCTTATATCCATTTCTATACACATCAATTTTGTTTTCATTTTTCAGGAAGGTAAGTAATACAAATGGAATATATAAGTGATCAAAATTTCCCTCTTTTCATTCACTTTAGGGAGACTGAAAAGGTTAATAATCTCATCTGAATATCATAGTTAATACTCTATGATCACACAGCATATCTTTGACATCTGCTTAACATTTCTTCCCCCCAGAAATAAACGAATGATATACACAACTAAAACAAGCTTAATAAAAATTTAATTTGAAAACATACAATACCTGGAGCATCATACTCTCTAAGCAATATCTACATGGTGAACTCAATAATCTGAAAAGCAAAAGTGAAACTAATTCAGTTCACAATTAATTCAATAACAAGGAATTAACTTATAAAAGACTTACAGAAACATACCCTCACTTCAAGGTCTACGAACTTCTGAAAGGCAGGTGCAGTTATATTTGAGAAAGCTTTAAGACAATTAAACCACAAGGGAAAAAGATGCAGACTAAAAAACTTTCTTTAAAAAAAATTACTACAAAAGAAATTATGGGCATGGTTAAATACATCACCTTCTCACATTTCAAATAAAAATCTTTCTACCAAAAGACTAGTCAAATCATCATTTGACATGGAACACAATATAGTCACTAAATAGCAAGCATATTCACAAGTGAAACAATGTTCGTTACAGAGATAGAACATATATTTTTCAGACATAACGCTGAACAATCATAAAAACTTAACTGAGTGGACATGTGAGGCTCTGTCGTGGTTTGCTCTTTCTTTCCAATAAAAAATCTCTCCTTCTTTTTTTCTTTGGTTACTCTTTACATTTTCTCTCAAGTAAGACCTTTAATCTTCTGCATTTATACGACCTAACTGAGTTGCAAGAGCCTTATAACTCTGACCAAAGTTAATTGAGAACATCTTCATAAAGAATCAAAACTTACAGTTGTGAGTATATCGTTTTCCAGCAACGGACTTTGAACTGCGGTTGAAAGAGAGGCCAGCGCAGCTGCAGGAAATGTTTCCACTGAGACTGAGATATCTCCCCGTCTAGAATTTGTCGCCAGCGAGTACACACATTGCTTGCTACCCACAATGAAATGTCATCAAGGTTCTTGAACACTAAAAGAAGCACTGCAGTAAAAGAAAATGAAATATATGCATTATCAAATCAAGAGAGTGAACTCTCAATTTTTCTTATGAAAATTTATTTTCACAGCTAAATCAACAGAATTTCCAAAACAGAAATGAATTCAGCACATTTTTTTTTCTCACACTAAAAAATTAACTGCTCAGACAAAGAGGTTGCATACTAAAAGTTGCCTTTGCTTTTCAATAAGTATAAAGTAGGCATGGCTGTTATCTGTTTTAACTATGAGATAAAATATAAGCAGAAAGGTTGTGGGAGGTTGGCGGGAGCTCTGGTGTGGTTTGTTCCTTCTTTCCTCTATAAAAAATGTATCTTCTCTATCTCCCCTCCTTCTTTTTTGTGTTTGTTACTCTCTTGTAACACTTCTAATCTTCTGCACTAATACGACCTTATTGTGTTGCAAGTGCCGTAAAACTCTTACAAAAACTTTTTTTTTTTAACTAGCGGAAAGGTTGTAACAATAATATTATAACCACCAGATATTCTATGTCTATTTTCTATACTCTCCATCCTAGAAAAACTCTGTTGTATAAATACCTTTCACTAACATCTCAATCTCAAAGCAAGCAATCGTTTTAATAGGAAACTGTGTGGAAAAAAAATCATTTCATTTCATGAAACCACTAAGGCTTACCCTCAGGAGGCAATGATTCAATAAGACCAACAGGAACAACATCTTGTTCTCGTGGAATGGTCAAGGCATTTATCCTTTCCGTCAGACGATCAGCCTTCAGCCTGGCCGGCCTGCGGGCCTGATGCTGAACCTTTGGTTGTGAACATATTCAAATATATGAAAATGAAGTCTCACATTGTTACAAAAAAATGCTTTTTCTCAATTTTCAGGGTACAAGGATAACAGGGATTGCCTGTATATTATCGGCCAGCAGTAAAAATGTACTATGCCCGGAATAGGTTGCACGTGCTCAAAAAAATATTTTGCAAAAAAAAAAAGAAAGAAAAAATACATAATGTTGGTACAATTGTCAAAAGACGGAAACAGTTTTTCCTCTCTTCTATAAAAGTTTGCTTTCAGGACTTGGCACATTTTTAGTTTGCTGATGTTACACTTCTGAAACAGAAGTGTATCAGCTAGTTTTGACAAGCTACTTTGTGATTCTTCAAAGACATCTTTTTACTCTCTAGACTTGTACTAGAATACAATTTTGAAACTGTTCTCATTGTAAAAAGCAAAAAGTAATTAAATCCGCATCAGAAACAGATTACATGAAAATGTCCTATTTTATAATACAATTGGAAAACAGTAAAGAAAACGACAGGATGGGTCACCTGTTATAAACATCTGAAAAATAATAAATACTGACAAAAAGATCACATTTAGGTGCTAATTTGCAAATACATACATAAAAACCAATATGAGTTTTGAAAGATACTTTAGAATATCATAAAGTTGAAGAAGTCATGTTATCTTTCAGCCTCAGCATCAATGACAAGATTTTACTACTCTCACAAGAAACAGTTCATAAATGAAAGCTAATCATCAAACTCAAGTTATATTTTCTTTTAACAGTTTTACATAAAAACAAATTATCCAAACCAGACACGAACCTCTCTTTCTCCAATGTCATTGCTGGCGTAGAAGTCTGTCTCTGCCCCAGGCTCCTCAGTACCTGAGTCATCAGAATCCACTTTCTGGAAGAAAAAACATAAAAAACATAATTACTCAGTAACATCACTTACAATAAACAATATGAAGGTCTAAAACAGCCTTCCAAAATCTGACGGAAAAAAAACAGTACAAAAACAATACCAGACACTTTTACGGATATATATTACATACTCATTTCCAAAAGAAACTTGACATAAAGAATAGTGTTAAATAAAAAAATAAACCATTGCAGACACAGGGACAACATTTTATATCTAAAAAGAAGAAGCATTTCTGAATTTGAAAACCTGTACTTTAATGCACATAATACACACCTGGTGCTTCAAGCCCCTCCTGAAATGATAAGGTCCAAATTTAAAAAATCAGAAAACGTGCATTTTTTCCACAAAGAAACTTTACACTGACATCATAATCCTAAATTATGGTTTTCGAAATGTCTGATAGCAAAATACACTGGTACTGGTCAAATCAAAAGCATTTCAAGTAATGTCTGAAAGTTCGGCAGGATTAATATCTTGTGTGACCGCCGCCTGCAGCAATGACGGCGCGGCATCTGCGCCTCGTAGAGTTGACGATGTTGGAAATTTGATGTTGTGGGGTAGCGTTCCAAGCGTTGGATAGGCTTTGAATCAACTGAGCGTTGTTCTGAGGAGCGGGATTCATCTCTTGGATTTGAGGCCCGAGAATATCCCACACATTTTCAATCGGGTTCATGCTGTGTCACCCTGGCACGATGGGCTCGAGCGTTGTCCTGTTGTAAGGTGTAGCCAGCATGGTTCTGCACAAACAGTGCCACATGTGGCTGCAAGATGGTGGCTACATAGTTGGCGCTATTCTATGCTGTCGGAGCATGTACCAGTGCCGTCCTGAGGTCTGTTGTGATTCCGCCCCAAACCATCACCAGCCCATATCCCCGGTTAGGGATTTCATGTATACACTGGTCAGCGAACCTTTCATTTCTACGGCGATATACCCACACTCAACCATCTTAGCGACCTAGGACAAATCTAGACTCATCCGTGAAAAGGACCTAAGACGAATAACTGTCTGTGTGCTCACTGGTTGGTGTTGCGGGAGGGTCCTGGCTGTATGGGAAGCAGACTGAAACCTGTCCTTCAGGTGGGTGGTGCATACCGATCCTGTGCCGGGGTGGTTACCCGCGACCTCCCTGATCTTGGCCGGTCTCTTGTACTTCCTGTGTTCATGTACCTGGTCTGCAGACTACACGGTTTCCCTGCTACAGTGAAAAATCCTTGCCACATCCGCCATTGGAACGCCTGCTTCGAGATGCCCTACAGCACGCCCCCGCTCGTCTGCACTGAGACGCGGCATGATTGAAAGTCAACATTTTTCTAGATTTCAGAAGCTCATAGTTCAAATGCAATCGACGTTTTCATAAACTTTTTACACACCTTTCGTAGGTTTTAAAATAAGCTACACATTGATAGCGAAGACAACACAAAAAAACTCATGCTTAACAAAATAAAAAGTTAACAAATGAATTCATACTGAACACACAGAATTGAGCTAACTCACTTAGTTGTGCTGTCGAAATTGATTCAGAAGACAGTAAAACCAACACACTGCACTGTACATAAATATCATCATTATCCGTTTTGATTTAATAGTATTATGTTTAAAGAAAATGTGTCAAGTTTCTTTTGGAAAAGAGAATATATTTAGAAAGTTTTTAAAAAGAAAACAAACATGTCTTTTTGTGTGCGTGTGTTTTGGGCTTTTTCTGGGGGGGGGGGGGGGGGGGGGTAATTTCACTAGTTTTCGGTAAACCAGGGACACATACACACACAATCAATTTTTGACACATATTCTACAACCTATACATTTCAACTATATAACATTAAGAGATATTCTCCTCTGCAGATGCATTGGTCATTGTCAGACAGTGATGGAAGAATTGTTAATTTTCATCAGTTTTATTAAAACAATGTGCAGTGAACTCCACATTTATTTCTTTTGTCTCCTCCAAATAGTATTCACTTTGCTTCATTTTTTTTCTCAATCACTTTTTCTAAATTTCAGTTTTCATATAGGAAACACCTTAGTACTACACTTGTACACAGCTCAAAGCTTCCACCGGAAAAGGAAAATGCGTTCAGAAGAAAAAGAAAATGAACAACATAATTAGTACAGCTTCATCTTAATAATATGTGACACATAGTGGTGAAATCAGGCGCTCGTCAAAATAACAAAATTGGAGAAACAGGCATTTTCCCATCAGTTTCGCAATTTTAATCCTATCCACACGCTCTGGGGTCCTTTTGTGCCCCGGGAGTTCTATTCTTCCCATTTTATAGTACTTCAAGTACAAAGATCTCTTGGAAACTTTCAGTATTTTTCTAAAAATCATTTTGACAGACTGCTATGCAAAGCGTATGGATCAGACTAAAGAGTAAATTTCCTCTTTGAAAGTGGTGGCACAGAGTTCCCCACGTCGTATATGGATGATAGTAAAACATGACGTACGGATAGGGTTAATCAAATTTTTGTTTTTTTGTTCCACCTTTTAATGTCCAAATAAAACACATTTCCATGTGAATTATATTGAATTGAAAAGCATTGATTAAAAGCTCAAAATATACAATTTTTCAGTTTTCAAGGCCTCTTTAGCTATTGCAGTTACCAAACTTTGGGGGTCACTTTCTTGCTATTTTTACCGCTGAAACAAAGTGATCTTACCTCCTTTGATGACAAATATCTTCACTTCTGCTCAAGATAGAAGAGTATTTTTTTTTCATCAAAAGCAAGATAAATGAACAAGCTTTAAAATGATACCAATAATTCTACATGCACAAAAATTGACGAGCGCCTGATTCCACCTCGTCGTGACACATATAGACTGTAAAGTGCATAAAGCTGGCTGTTGATCAGGAATTCGCATACAACAGATATATATGCTATCTATTATTATTATTATTACTTTTAAGGCAAAGGCACACATTATACAAGAACTGGTTACATCAAATACAAAATATGGAGTAAATCTTTAGACAGCACCACTTACCACAAACATATATATAAAGCAGCAAGAAGATGGCAAAAAGTGAGAAAAAGTACAGCTTATATATTTTGAATTTCAAATCTTCATTGAACAAACATTTGCCAATTTTGTTTTAGATACTAAAGTTGAAACAATTATCTACCTGATTATTATTATTACACAGTACCTCATATGCTCTGTTGTCTCCTTCTTCTCCATCTTCCTTTAAGTCAATAGAAAACAGGAACAAATGGCAAGTGCTGCACACAGGTTGTCCAAAGCTTTTGCCATAGAATCCACTGCACATCATACAGCTCTCATATTGCTGGAGGAAAGAAAGGCAGAACATACTGACTAAAGTGCTAACGGTTGACAACACCCCATTGCTTTCGACAAAAAAATTCCATGACAGTTTTAGCTCAGACTTCCAACCCACTGTACAGCATTTATATAACTGCCAGTCTAGCCGTACTTATTTCAGGCCCTATTAGAAACCTGTTGAGTACACAGGTCTCATTAGTAGGCTAATTATTCAGGTTTAAAATATATGCACTATCAGTAAGGCACCTTTCGGTTTCGTCTCAAATACAAATACTTTAGGTATTGCAAACAAAAAATATTTTTTGCTGTTTGTCAGAGTCTAGCCATCATTATTAAGTATGGCTAGCCCAGCCGTCTAGCCATCATTTTAAAGTACGGGTAGCCTGCCAGTCTAGCTGTACTTGACTAGCCAGCCAGTCTAGCCGTACTTGGCAAGCCTAGCAGTCTAGCCGTCATTAAGTACGGCTATCCCCTTCCTAATTTTAATCAATGCTTGATGTTCAGAGTTATTATACTGGTTTTTTTACTTTCACACGCGACTCATGTTTGTTATAATATAATTGCAATTTTTTTTCCAATCAATTGATTTTGCTACGGTTTTAGTGGCCACATAGGCCTAGATCTATATGTATGCATGTAGGGTAGGCCTATTCTACTATGACACTATTAAAGTCATATATTATAACAGCAGTCCAGCCCCAAAAAGCAGTTCATCTACAATGACATCTCAGGGCTCCCCTTTTCAGGCCAACTTAAAAAGTTCCTTCACCCTTTGGTTTTCTATATTGGGGTATCTAAACCTTTGTTTTAGAAACTAAAAAGGTTGTTGGTTTTTTGTTTATATATATGACAAACGAATCCTCAAAAGTCAGTTATCTCCTAATTTCATAGTAAGAGAATTTTTGCATGTAAACATTAAACTCACACTACACACAGAGTGACCATGATTGAATGCTAACAATTTTTAATTAACTGTAAGGTTTCAGTGTAACAACAAGAAAAAAATGAGTAATATTGACTAGAATTAGAGTTGTGTTCACTTGGAGGGGGTGAGGGGGAGAGGCTGGCCGTGGTCGGGCCAATCAAAAATAAAATAAAGTTGACAAACCAAAAGG